CAGAGCATCCCGCCCCATCTCCCATCCCATGCTCACATGAGGATCCAGTACCAGGAGACCGTGTAGTCCTCGAAGATCTTCATGGCCAACTGCCTGGCCTCCAGGACCACGTTGGCTTTCCTGCAAGCACAAACCCACCATAGAACCACGTTGGAAGGGATCCCAAAGCTCCTCCAGCTCTCACTGGAGCAGGGGGCTCCAAGCCCCATCCAGCCCATAGGGATGGACTCACTTGGCTCCCTCCAGCAGGTCGGTGACGTTCCTCTGCTGGCCGTGGCCATCGTTGTAGGTAGTCTCGTTGCCGACCATGATGACTCCCTTCTTGGCTTGGATGGCCGGGAAGCATCGGCGTGCCACTGGGAATAGAGGGGGAAAAGCGGCATCATCCACCCATCCATCCCTCCATCACCCATCCATCCATCCCTCCATCATCCGTCCATCCATCCCTCCATCATCCATCCATCCATCCCTCCATTATCCATCCATCCATCCATTATCCGTCCATCCATCCCTCCATTATCCATCCATCCATCCATCCCTCCATCATCCATCATCCATCCCTCCATCATCCATCCATCCATCCATCCATCCATCCATCCATCCATCCATCCCTCCATTATCCATCCATCATCCATCATCCATCCATCCATTCACCCATCCATCCATCTGTTATCCATCCATCCACCCATCCATCCCTCCATTATCCATCCATCCATCCATCCATCATCATCCATCCATCCATCATCCATCCATCCATCATCTATCCATCCATCATCCATCATCCATCCATCATCCATCCATCATCCATCCATCATCCATCCATCATCCATCCATCATCCATCATCCATCTATCCATCCATCATCCATCATCCATCCATCATCCATCCATCATCCATCCATCATCCATCATCCATCCACCTACCCACCTCAGGACAAGGGTCCAAACCCCTTCCCGGACCCACAACCCCCCACTGGATCCCTGGAACCCCCCACCAGGAGCCTCAGCCCCACTGGAATGGCCCCATTACAGCCCCATTGCCCTCCAGACCTACGTGGGGTGCTGGGGATGAGCACGGCCGGGCATTCCTTGTCCGCCAACACCCGGAGGGGATCCTGGACGGGGATGGACGGGATGGATGTCAGCACTGTGGGTGGGAATGACCCCATGGGAAAGCTGACACCGTCCCGTGGACCCACCTTCTGCAGGCCTGTGAACTCGGGCACGCAGAACCTGCGGTAGTATTCCAGCCCCTGGGATGAGTGGGAGGCATCCAGGTACGTCTGGAATCTGTCCGGGCATTCGCTGACACAGATCTGGGAAGGAGAGGAGGACACGGGCTGGGAGAGCTGGAAGAGCTCCGGATCCACCTCCACTCCTGAAGGGGCTACAGGGAACCTGGAGAGGGCTTTGGACAAGGGATGGAGGGATGGGATAAGGGGAATGGCTTTAACCCGCCAGAGGGGAGATGAAGATGGGATCATGGGAAGTTCATCACTATGAGGGCAGCGGGACACTGGGATGGGTTGAAGGGAGAAGGCTTGGATGCCCCATCCCACCAAGGCCAGGTTGGAGCAACCTGCTCAAATGGAAGGCATCCCTGCCCATGGAACCGGATGAGCTTTAAGGATGCTTCCAACCCATCCCATGATCCCAAGGAGCCGGAGCATCCCGAGGGAGCTGGGTCGATACCTGGGTGGTCGGGCACTGGAACTCCAGCAGCACCAAGGGGCTGGCACACTTCACGATGTCAAAGTAGAAGAGGAAAGGTTTCCCCCTGCAAAGCAAAGCAGCACCCACATAGAACAGGGATGCACTGTCCGGACCCCCTGGGATGGATATGTGGTACCCAAGGGGGCAGTGGGGATGTGGTACCCAAGGGGGCAGTGGGGATGCGGTACCCAAGGGGGGCAGTGGGGATGTGGTACCCAAGGGGGGCAGTGGGGATGTGGTACCCAAGGGGGGCAGTGGGGATGTGGTACCCAAGAGGGCAGTGGGGATGTGGTACCCAAGGGGGGCAGTGGGGATGTGGTACCCAAGGGGGCAGTGGGGATGTGGTACCCAAAGGGGCAGTGGGGATGCGGTACCCAAAGGGGGCAGTGGGGATGTGGTACCCAAGGGGGGCAGTGGGGATGTGGTACCCAAGGGGGGCAGTGGGGATGTGGTACCCAGGGGAGCAGTGGGGATGTGGTACCCAGGGGAGCAGTGGGGATGTGGTACCCAGGAGGGCAGTGGGGATGTGGTACCCAGGGGAGCAGTGGGGATGTGGTACCCAGGAGGGCAGTGGGGATGTGGTACCCAGGGGAGCAGTGGGGATGCGGTACCCAAAGGGGGCAGTGGGGATGTGGTACCCAGGAGGGCAGTGGGGATGTGGTACCCAAGGGGGGCAGTGGGGATGTGGTACCCAGGGGAGCAGTGGGGATGTGGTACCCAAAGGGGGCAGTGGGGATGTGGTACCCAGGAGGGCAGTGGGGATGTGGTACCCAGGGGGGCAGTGGGGATGTGGTACCCAGGAGGGCAGTGGGGATGTGGTACCCAAGAGGGCAGTGGGGATGTGGTACCCAGGAGGGCAGTGGGGATGTGGTACCCAGGGGGGCACAGCCACGTACTCATTGGGGGTCCCCTGCTGCCCGCAGAACTGCCCGCGGCTGTCAGTGGGGTAGATCACCTTCCGGGGGTCCCCATAGCTCCAGGCTGCATGTGGGGAAGCGGAAGAGGCGGTCGTGGTCGTCCCCATGGGCCTCGGACCCACATCTCCCCATGGAGACCTCCCCATCCCCATTGGAGGCTCAGCCCCCCCCCCTTCCCCACGTACCCAGGATGCCCACCACCACGTAGCCCGCGATGGCGAGGACCAGCAGGATGCAGCAGACGATGTCCGTGCAGCCCCTGCCATAGGGAAGAGCAGCGTTGGGAATGGGAATGGGAACGGGAATGGGAACAGCAACGGGAATGGGAACAGGAATGGGAAGAGGGATCACGGTGCCTCTGCTCTTTACCTGTCGTAGATGGGACCTTTGAAGGTGGGGTCGTACTTCTGCGGCGTCCCTAGGGAAGCGCATTGGGAATGGGAACAACGAGGGGTGGGATGGATGGGGAGGAAGGGGGCTCCTCCTCCTCCTCCTCCTCAGCAGGGAACCCAACGCTCGGGCCGGAATCCGGAGGGAAGCGGCCTCCGGGAGCGGGATTCCCATTGGAAAACCCACTTCCATCATCTTCCCAATGTAAACACTGCCTGGGATACCCCCGATCCCATTGGAGCAGCGCGGGGGGGGGAATGCTGGGAATCCAGCCCCAGATCCCACATCCCGGCTTTATTTATAGGGTGGGAACCCAGCCAGGAGGGAGCGGGGGGGGGCTTTAGGGGGGTTCCACTTCCGGGTGATTTTGGGGGGGGGGGGTTGCAGGGATCCCCCCCCACCCCCAGCTCGGAGCCAAGCCCCGGCCCGAACGCGTCCGGCCCCATCGCTCCCCACGGCGCAGCCACGCCGCGCTACCGGTTACACCGGCTCCAGGGCGGCCAAAACCGGACCCAAACGAACGCTTTCGGTTTCGTTCCCGTTCCCGTTCCCGTTCCCCCCCCCCCGCCCCAACACCGGGACCCCCACAGGCCCCCCCCCCGTCCCTACCGTGCTTCCCGTAGTAGCCGTCCCCATGGCCCCCCATTGCCAACGCCGTCGCTCGGCTCCGGACGCTCCGCCCTGGGCGTGCCCGTTCCCCCCCCCTCCCCTCCCGTCCGGTAACGTCAACGGCGTTAAAGGAGCCGCAACGGGAACCGTAGGGGTCGGGGCCGCCGTTCCCGATCCCCTTCCCGTTCCCCTTCCCGATCCCCTTCCCGTTCCCGATCCCTATCCCGATCCCGTTCCGATCCCGTTCCTGATCCCCTTCCCGATCCCCTTCCCGTTCCCGATCCCGTTCCCGATCCCGTTCCCGTTCCCCTTCCTCTTCCCGATCCCGTTCCCCTTCCCGTTCCCGTTCCCGATCCCGTTCCCGATCCCGTTCCCGATCCCGATCCCGTTCCCGATCCCGTTCCCTATCCCCTTCCCGTTCCCGTTCCCGATCCCCATCCCCTTCCCGATCCCCTTCCCGTTCCCTATCCCGATCCCGTTTCTCTACCCGTTCCCGTTCCCGTTCCCGATCCCGTTCCCTATCCCCTTCCCGTTCCCGATCCCGTTCCCGTTCCCGATCCCGTTCCCGATCCCATTCCCCTTCCCGATCCCCTTCCCGTTCCCTATCCCGATCCCGTTTCTCTACCCATTCCCGATCCCGTTCCCGATCCCGTTCCCCTTCCCTATCCCGGTGACGCCGCGTTCCCTGCCCCATCCGAGGCAATAATAAAGCAGCGGGGCCGGTATTGACGGGGCCCGCTCATAGGGTCCCGCTGATGTCAACGGGAGCAATGGGAGATGCTTTGTGCCCCCGCCCCCCCGCTTTGCCCCTATGGAGTGGGGGTTCCCCATTAGCAAATGTGGGGGGGTCCCCATCCCATCATCACCGGGACCCCCCCCATTGGACCCCGCTGCGGGGGAGCCCCGGGACCCCCCCCCACTTCGGGGGTGCCGAGGGAGGGGCTCGGGGATGCTGTGGGACAGCGGGGTTGGGGGTGCAGGGAACCCCCCCAAAGATGGAGCATTGGGGGGTGCAGGGTGGAGATCGGGGACCCCCTGGGATGGGGATGTGGGAGTCGGGGTCCCATTGGGACCCCATCCATGGGGGGGTCCATGGGGGGGTCCCATGGGTGTTGGGGTCCCATGGATGGTGGATCCCATGGGGGGGGTCCCATGGGTGTTGGGGTCCCATGGATGGTGGATCCCATGGGGGGGGTCCCATGGGTGTTGGGGTCCATGGATTGGGGGTCCCATGAATGGGGGGGTCCCATGGGTGTTGGGTTCCATGGATTGGGGGTCCCATGAATGGGGGGTCCATGGGTGTTGGGGGACCCAATGGATGGGAGGTCCCATGAACGGCGGGTCCCCATGTGTGGGGGTTCCCCCCCATTGCCTCTGGGGCCCGATCCTTCCCCTTTAAGGCCCTGGGGCGCTGCCGCTCACCTGCGCAGGTGACGGCGGCGCTGACGTGCGCGGGGACCGCCATGGCCGCCTCTGCCCTCTTCATCCTCGACCTCAAGGGGAAGGTGAGGACCCCCCCCCTTAAAGGGTCGACCCCAATGACCCCCAATTGGGGGGGGGTCCCCTCTAATCCTCCCCCCCCCATCATTGTTCCCCCCCCCATCCTTAGCCCCTCATCAGCCGCAACTACAAAGGGGATGTGGGGCTGGGGGAGATCGAGCACTTTATGGGGCTGATGCTGCAGCGGGAGGAGGAGGGGGGCCCTGGCGCCGCTCCTGCCCCACGGCCACGTCCATTTCCTCTGGATCAAGCACTCCAACCTCTACCGTATCCTTTGGATCCCTATGGGGATCGGGGGGACACCCCCATCCCTTGGTACCCCCCTTCCCCTTTGGTTTGCCCTTAACCCCCCCCCCCCCAATAGTGGTGGCCACCACCAAGAAGAACGGGAACGCATCCTTGGTGTATTCCTTCCTCTATAAGGTGGTGGAGGTGAGTTTGGGGGGGGATGGCACGTTTTTGGGGGGTAAACCTTTGTTTTTGGGGGAAGCCCCCGTTTTAGGGAGGAAGCTCTCATTTTGTGGAGGAAAACCCACATTGTTGTGGAGGAAACCCTCATTTTGGGGAGAAAAACCCCATTTGGAGGGGGAAACCCTCGTCTTTGGGGTGAAACCCCCATTTTGGGGAGGAAGCCCTCATTTTGTTGAGGAAACCGACTTTTTTGTGGAGGAAACCCTCATTTTAGGGAGGAAACCCTCATTTTGGGGAGGAAACCCTCATTTTAGGGAGGAAACCCTCATCTTTTGGGGGAAAGCCTCATTTTGGGGAGGAAAACCTCATTTTGAGGGGGAAACCCTCAATTTTGGGGGAGAAAACCCCCATTTTGGGGAGGAAACCCCATTTTGGGGAGAAAACCTTCATTTTGGGGAGGAAACCCCCATTTTGGGAAGGAAACCTTCATTTGGGGGGGGAACTGCCATTTTGGGGAGGAACCCCCCCTTTTGGGACGCTTGCGCCCCCCGTTGCAGGTGTTCCGTGAGTACTTCAAGGAGCTGGAGGAGGAGAGCATCCGGGACAACTTCGTCACCGTCTACGAGCTCCTGGACGAGCTCATGGATTTCGGCTTCCCCCAGACCACCGACAGCAGGATCCTGCAGGAGTGAGGGCCTGGGGGGGGCTATGGGGCAGAGACCCCCCCGGACCCCCCCCATCACCCCTCTGTGATCCTACCCCCACCCAGGACCCCCCCGTCACCTCTCTATGGTCCTAGCCCCCCAGACCTCCCCTCCATCATCACCCCTCTATGGTCCTAGCCCCCCAGACCCCCTCTCCATCATCACCCCTCTATGGTCCTACCCCCCCCAGGACCTCCCTCCATCATCACCCCTCTGTGGTCCTACCCCCCCGCACCCCCCCATCACCCTTCTGTGGTGTGGTCCTACCCCCCCCAGGTACATCACACAGGAGGGGACCAAGCTGGAGCGGGGCGGGTGCCGGGTGCCCAGCACCGTGACCAGCGCCGTGTCCTGGCGCCCCGAGGGCATCCGCTACAAGAGGAACGAGGTCTTCATCGACGTCGTTGAGGCAGTGAACCTGCTGGTGAGGGGGGGCTCGGGGGGCAGGATGGGGCCATTGATGGAGATGGGGCCATTGATGGAGCTGGGGCTGGGGCCATTGATGGTGCTGGGGCCATTGATGGTGCTGGGGCCATTGATGGTGCTGGTGACATTGATGGAGATGGGGCCATTGATGGTGCTGGTGACATTGATGGAGATGGGGCCATTGATGGTGCTGGGGCCATTGATGGTGCTGGTGACATTGATGGAGATGGGGCCATTGATGGAGATGTGGCCATTGATGGAGATGGGGCCATTGATGGAGATGGGGCCATTGATGGTGCTGGTGACATTGATGGAGATGTGGCCATTGATGGAGATGGGGCCATTGATGGTGCTGGTGCCGTTACTGTTGCTGGTGCCATTGATGGTGCCGTTGCTGTTGCTGGTGCCGTTGATGGTGCCGGTGCCGTTACTGTTGCTGGTGCCATTGATGGTGCCGTTGCTGTTGCTGGTGCCGTTGATGGTGCCGGTGCCAGTGCCGTTACCAGTGCTGGTGCCAGGCCCACAGCCCGGCCGTAAGCGGTTGCGGTTGCCGCAGGTGAGCGCCAGCGGCGCGGTGCTGCTCAGTGAGGTGCTGGGCACCATCAGGCTCAAGGTTTTCCTCTCGGGGATGCCCGAGCTCCGCCTGGGCCTCAACGACCGCGTCCTCTTCGAGCTCACCGGCAGTGAGTGATGGGGGGGTCTCTCATCACCTCCATGGTGCTCTATGGGGGGGGGGGGTCCCATCATCTCCATAGGGGCACCCATCAGCACCATGAGGCTTTATGGGGGGGTCCCATCATCTCCATGGGGAGGGCCATCAGCACCATGGGGCTCTATGGGGGGGTCCCATCACCTCCATGGGGGGGGCAGCTCCCATCACCTTCCTGGGGCTCTATGGGGGGGTCCCATCACCTCTATGGGGCTCTATGGGGGGCTTCTATCACCTCCATAGGGCTCTATGTGGGGGTCCCTTCACCTCCCTGGGGCTCTATGGGGGGCTCCCATCCCTTCCCTGGGGCTCTATGGGGTTCTCCCATCTCCTCCCTGGAGCTCTATGGGGTTCTCCCATCCCCTCCCTGGGGCTCTGTGTGGTCCTCCCATCACCCCCACGTGTTGGGGGTCCCGTGGCAGGGGGCAGGAGCCGGTCGGTGGAGCTGGAGGACGTCCGGTTCCACCAGTGCGTGCGCCTGGCGCGCTTCGCCTCGGACCGCACCATCTCCTTCATCCCCCCCGACGGCGACTTCGAGCTCATGGCCTATCGCCTCAGCACGCAGGCGAGCACGCGGCACCGGCACCTTTGGGGCACGGGGGGCACACACATGGGGCTCACCGCATCCCCCCCTCCGTGTCCATCGCAGGTGAAGCCGCTCATCTGGGTCGAGTCGGTCATTGAGAGGTTCTCCCACAGCCGGGTGGAAATCCTGGTCAAGGTGAGGCGATGGGGGGGGATGGAGGCATGGCCCCCCCCCCCCGGCATTTATACCCCATTACCGCCCCATTATCA